TTTGTTGCGAAAGGCCATGGGACCGCCTCCACTGATTGAGGCTCCTGCGAATCGACAAGTAGGCCATGCTGACTGGATTCTTGTGCCTGACCTCGGCATGCCCAAAGCATATTCAGCAGAATAATGGAAATCCATAACATTGGCGTGGCTGACATGAGTGGGGATCCAGGGTGTGATGCGCGTGATCACATGTGACTTGCCAGTATCCTGTTGAAATCCCGGCAATTCTGCACATCTAGGCCATACCTGAAACCTTGTAATCCGCTTGAAGAACTCAAGGAATGGCTCGGACCGTTCCCGAGCCTTCAACCACCCAGGTTTTGATCGTGGCTCGTCTCATACTGGGGGGAGGATCTCCGGTGCTGCATCCGCCGACCCCATTGAGGAGTCCTTCAAGATCTTTGTAAGAAACTGCCCAAAAAAAATCGACGCAGATCTGGCACCACTTTTCGGCCCTCTCAATTCAAGACTCTTCAAGGCAGCTGGGAAAATGGTAGTACGAAATGGAACCCACAACATCCCCTGACCCACTAGAACTTCTTAATGAGTGGTATGTTTGCTTGCCGAATCTAGGGATGGCGATATTCCCCGTGGTGTGGAGTTGTAACATGTGGCTCTTTAGAACAAATAAACCAAGGATCATTTGGCAAGCATTTGACACCAAAAACTACAATCTCCTCACTCTCCCTCTCGTTCCCCCCGTTCCACTTCAGCGAAAATGACATGCTGATGGCGCCCGGGTAGCGAAGCTTGTCAATGTCAAAGGTCCACGGTGTTGGCCCTCACAAATGCCAAGGGTCCCACAACCAATTTGAGATGGTAGAAACACATCATGGTATTTCAAGCCAAACCAAAGTCAAAGGACCAGGTCTCACAGCGCCGCGGGCAAACTGGAAAAACGGGGCAAGGCAAGGTTGGCAAGCGTCCAGTACCTATGCAGGATTCGCCGCAAATCTCTGGGTCAGGGTCGCCTTCCGCCATTTGCCTAGGATCTCCTTCAAGAGCCCACAAGCTTGAAGGGAGCTGCTGGGAAGTCCAAGTTTTAAGCGACAGCTTGTCTAACATCTACATACAATTGCATTCAATTCTGATTTGATGTCAACACAACCAAGCAATTCCCAGATTTGCGTCGACCTGTCTTCGCCTGCAAACTGGCAATTTTCTCACCTCCCCTTTCACCGCTTCGAGAGCTCAGGAATTGCCAAGCTGGGGAGCCGGGCTGTCACCTTCACCTGTTTCAGGTGCGTGTTCATGGAGGTATCCACAGAAGTGATGGTGCCCTGGCATAGGCGGGCTGCTGGCAAGGCGGCACAGTGATGTGAGCGCACTGGTGGGGCATGAAGAAATATCAGGTCTATCTCGTCAAGGGCGCTGAGAAGCTAGGACAACAAACCGACTGGCTTGTACCTGTGCGTCGCTAGCAAGATTCAGACGGCTTTGTCTTGCCAAATGTGTAGGCCGAAATACAAACCAGCCAATTGCTTGACATGACACTCAAAAATGAAATAGCCTATACAGCCCGCTTTGATGGCAAAGGACAGGCGCCAAAAATGAGATATTGACCTATCACAAAAAGTCAAAACCCACTTGGTGAAAATTGCAAGCTGCCACTTCAGCGAAGTGAAGAAACTGAGGATTCCCCAAAGCCCTCGACTTGTCCAGCACGCAAACCGAAGCAGGTCCCTTCCAACGGTCGAACTCCAGACAGCTTCCAACTCGACTTGGCTGTAGTCGATGCGAGGCACGCTCTGAAGCTGCTCTTCTTCATGAAATGCGAATGACCATTTGGCCAAAGGGTACCCTAGGGTTCGAAGCAAAGTGGCCACGGAGTGATAGCCAGCATACAAAAAGGAACCAACAGCGAAAACACCACAGCACCACTATCTTTTTGGCTTAAGGGATCCGCACTGAGCCAAGAGCTTCGTTAGTGCATCTGCGAGTTGGGCATCACTATGCACCCATCTCACTGCCGTTTGGCGTGTTTTCAGCCTCTCCAACAGCGTTAAAAACTCTAAGGTTGAATGTTTTTCTTTCAACCCTGCGCCCGCCGAACTCAAGTCTCCTCGCTTCACCACGTCATAGAGGCTCTTGGTCACCGTTTCTGGTACGGGAGTTTTACAGAAGCTCTTCATCCGGCTTCAGCGTCCTCAAGGAATGGCTATGGCCCAATGGGCCACGGAGGTGAGAGAAGCCTACAAACAACGGGCGTTGGTTCGGACAAGGAAGGCAGCCGGAAAGCTCAAGTTGCCCTCAGAGTCGATCACATCACAGAGAACTACGCAGGAGCCAGCCAGAACCGCGCCGTCAGGATTCGTTGGAAGCTCCCCTGCCAGTTCCAACTCGACTTGGCTGTAGTCGATGCGAAGCACGCTCTGAAGCTGCCCTTTTCCATGAAATGCGAATGACCATTTGGCCAAAGGGTACCCTAGGGCTCGAAGCAAAGTGGCCACGGAGTGATAGCCAACATACAAAAAGGAACCAACAGCGAAAACACAACAAACAGTGGGGGAATATGCTTTCAAGGCACTTCTACCTCTCCAGGGCTCTTTTTTGTCCCTTTACAAGGCAAGTCTTTCAGCTTCCAGAGCAACACAGGAGGGTTACAAAAAGAGGTCGGATGCCCTTAAAGGCGCTTCCGCTGCTACCGGTGGGCATGTTGCGCTGATTTCCGCTCTTAGCTGACCATCGGCTTGTTTGGCTTCCTCTCGCCTGGATCTGCGTGCCGTTCTTGAGCTCCATGGTCACGGTCTCGTTGACCATCTTCCCCAGAAACCTGGCCATAGCTGCGGCCGCCCTTTGGGCGGGTACTAGTACCGTCTTTGGGGGTCTGCCCATGTGGATACTGTGGCCTCCTGCTTTTTGGAGTTGGTGGCATTTGGTAGCTTTCAAGAGAAGCCAAAAGGCCACCTCGCCGCACAAATCAGGGCTCCCGGTCCCATTTGGAGGGGTAGCAAATTGAACAAGCAGCAGCTTGTCACTTTGCAGTCGGGTCTCAGCATCCGATCAGGCAGCCAACAGTTCCCTGTTTGATGCTTCCCTGAGTTGAAGAAACAGTGGGTTGATGATGAAAATAGAAGAGAAAGTGAATGGTTGGCTTGTTCAACCCACACTTCTCTTGTCCAAGGTGATGGTTGCGGGAAATATCCCTTTCTCTGATGCCAAACTGGGCCATCCCCGTGACTTCAGACTTCGTTGTCACTTGAAAGAGATCACCTGGTATCACAGCAAGCAGCCCGACTCCCTAAGGTAGTTTAGTTTGGACAGCTTGTTTGAGAGTCATAATCTAAAGGAGTCTACCCAAAACCGATGGCAAAGCGTCCAAGAGGTAGAAAGCGTAGCACACCATTATGGCAAAGGCGCTATCCCCCAACCTTCGACTTCCCAAGTGAATTCATTCTTTGCTCATCTGACGCTGGTGAAATCCGAATTGGCTCAAGGGCGTATCCCATGAACTGGACAAGGGCGCTGAGTGTGCCACCCCCACCCCCCACCCCCCAGCGCGCACCGGTTGAGCTTCATGGCTGTCGGCCGCCACCCCTGCGGAAGCGATTGTTGACGGGCGCATGTCTATCTCCAGCGTATTCTCAACAGTTTGTGCCAGTTTGCCCAAAACCCACGGCAATGAATGCAAAGACCGGCCGCTTCTATTTCTTGTTGGGACCCCAGCCTGACCTTTTTATCTCTGGGTTTTGATTGTGCTCATCTGGCACCAACATTTGGACCAAGCGTTGTTAATTGCAGGATGGTTCCTTCGCTACTTGCTCACTTGCTGCATTGGGTGCGTGCCATCGTTGCTAGCATTGCAGTACCCTTCTTGTTTCATCTGGTTCATGCTGGTCCCAAGTGGGTTAAGAGTCTCCCCAACATTTTTTGAGCACCCCTTTCAAAACTCATGATGCGGCACACAATGCCACCAGGGTCCCAAAAGGAGTAGTGACTTGTAAGAGCGGAATAGTTGCATAGAGCAACCGCACTCGTCATCGTCCCAAAAGGGCCTTTCTCGTTTGACCTAAGGTCACAATGATAGAGCACAGCCAAACCCAGTGAATATTGGCCGGCGGTCGACTTGCCTGAGAAGCACTCTTGCCATCCTTTCCTACGCCAGTTCTGCTCTGTCTTAGGGGACCCACGGAGACTTCAAGCCAGCCAGGCCCTGCCTGGCTCAGCCGGAGCGGCGCCCAAGAGTAACCCCCCGAGCCCCGGGCTGTGAGCCACAAGCGGGGCACATAGGCGGTAGTTTGGGTGTTTACTGGGAGATCCTGCAAATGCTTCGTTTCTTCCTGCTTCCCTTGGGGCTTCCACAGCCACTAGTTAGTGTATCCGTTCAGAAGGAGATGAACGCATGGACCCTACCTGGGGAGCTGGAATTGCAGCAAAAGACCTCAAAAAGTGCTGGCAGCTCGCAAAAAAAAACACATCATCTTCCCTGTTTGAAAAGCTGCAAGTCGTCAAGCTCAAGGTGTGTGGCACAGAGCACTGAACATCTGTTGTTTTGTTTTTGTTTTTTGCCTGAGACGCTTTCTTGGATTGTTTGAGAGGGGAGCCAAAAGGAAACTCACCACCATTTTGGTGGGGGTTTCCCCTGTTTTGAGTCAAGCTCCTCTTTCTGTTGCCCGCGGTCCATCCTCCTTGTGCTTCGGTGGCTAGTAGCCGCTTGCCGATTGCGGGGACCCGCATCGAGCTCGGGGGCCCAGATGCTCGGAGTGCCGTTGGCTGAAAGTGAGCCCGCCTCTGCTTTCGTTTGTGAGCCGACACTTCTTTCGACGGCCTTTGACAAGAAGCAGAAGCTCAAGGGCGGTCCTTTCGCCATTTTCCAAAGTCCAAGAGGAACACATTCTCCCAATGGCTCCGTAACAGCCGTAAGCCTGCCACCGGCACTCGCTGCGCCCAGAGTCTGCGAGTCCATGAAGGGCTAAAGGGCTACGTGAGTCGCCGCGGTTCTGCGCCAGCTCGTCGCCTTTCGCCTGGACAGGACTGTTCTGTCCGTAACTCGCGAGCCCCCAGAGCTCATGCACTTGAGACATATCTCTGCTTGCTCGATCCCGCCCTAGCTTTTGAAAGCACTAATCATCCAAACATTGCATGCCTCAATCCACCGCCATCTTCGAAGTCCCCGACTTGTCCATCCGCATCTTTTGCGGCTACCTACGGCAGGGGCTGCACATGCCAATGAAACCTCACCATTGATGAAGCTCACTCAAATTGGGCACGAAAGGTGATTGGTGTCTGCAACCATTCAGGTGTTGCTGACGCCGGATTTCAGCGTTGTAACCATTTGCAACCCTGTTTCCCTAATCCACAGTCAACAAGCAAGCAATCCGGGAATTCTGTTGCCTCTTGGCTTTTGGTGACTCTTTGCGGGATCCGGATCATGTCTCCCATCGCCTCTTGTTGGGCTCGCAGAGCCAGGGAAGCTCGCACTTTCCTTGCTTCACCTAAGCTTCGAGGTGATATAAGAAGTCTTTGAGGAATTGGGGCTGAGAAATCGCACACTCTGCGTCGGAAAGCAACTTCACACAGCAACCTCACCCACACAGCGAAACCTGAGCACAGAACCTGGGCTAACGTTGGGTTTAGGGTTGCTTGAGGGTGGATTGATGGCTTGGGTGGCTGTACTTGGCGCCCGCATTAAGTCACCCACGCCCGCATAAAGTCACCCACGCGCATGGGGACACCGCATTAGAATGGGGACACCTCATCCGGGCGACTTCACATAACACCAGCACCCAGTAGGGTGGTTGGGGATTGAACGAGGCAGATGCTCTGACTCAGCCAAGGTGCTTCGGGGTGATACCTGGCGAATCCGAGCTCCAAATTGCGGTTTTTCGGAGGCTAAACCACATTTCAATGGGACACCCATTTGGCGGGGGGCTGGGGGGGGTTCTAAATTTCGAGACAAACCCAATGAGGGATATCAAGACCAGCTCTTGGCCACTTTTCGGTGTCATTTCATGCTGCCTTTCTCACTCTGTCTCCTCCAAACGAACACGCCAATACCCCAGAAAAGTGATGTGCTCTTTTCAAAATTGTAAAGGATGAGGATGAGATCTTAGGAGATGTTCAACTGCGAACAAAGGTCACATGCCAGGCAAATTCGGTCGAATGACTCTAGCAGAATTTGTCCAGTTGACTTTGCTGGGATGTCCAGCTGGTTGGCACAAATCGCCGGTCGTCACCATGTGACACAAGCCCGATGAGTCCCTCACCAAGTAGTCACTTCCCACCCCCCGCAAAACCACGAAAGGCCCGACTGAGTCCAAAGATCGCCTCGGAAGTCAGTCGCAATTCCAAACCTAGCTCTGCGGCCCTTCAGTTTGAAGTGGCTCAAGGGCACGTCCCTTCGTTTTTTTGGGGGATGCGCCCGGCCTGTCCAGGAGCAGCTGGGAGTACTGAAAGGGCAGCTCGTTGGTGCAGCGCGCCGAGCCCCAGAGCTTCACCTGCCAGTCTCAAGCGGCCTACGCCCCGAAACGCAAATTCCCCCAACTGCGCGGACGGTACCAGCTGCGCTGTACCGTTCAGCCAAGTCTCATATCGGGAGAGATTGTAGCCTTGCAAGCAAGGCAGCGATTCCAAGAATCCAAACAAGTGTTCCTGATCTGTCGTAGGCCCTTCAAAAAAATGGAGAAGAACATAAAACCCGTCTTTCAACGACACAAAACCCAAGCGTCAGAACAGTTGCCAAGGGACACAGCTGGCAAACAGAGTTCACACGCTGGAACTCCGGCAGGGGGTCCAGTGCCAACTTGGCATCCTGGCGCTCTCCAATTGGCAAATCGGCTCCATTGACCCATGCAAGCAAGCGAGCATGAAAGTTCGCATATGCTCGCATGAGCGGTGCTTCTCATCACTTGCCAGTTCAAGGGCCCAGCTGTTGGAAGGGTCTTGCGTGCAAAACCCATGCGGCTTCCCTGCTTCACGGCACTGATGTCCTCCTTCTTGAGCTTGATGTTGTAAGTGGGTTTGCCTCCAGGGTAGCCTCGCAACGCCCCTCGCCCTGGCTTCCAGCCACACCGCTCTCATTATCGCAGTCATTCCCCCAGGCAGTAGGATTGTGGGAAATGACTCAAGTTTCGCACGTTGATACCGAAAGCGCCAAGACATCGGCCGAGCGATCTTCCCCTGAGTGAAACATCTATTTGGAGGTTTCATGGAACATCACCGCCATGAGAAACAAAACACCCAAAAGAGGGAAATCAAGAGAAATCTTCTCCGTAACCCAAGTGGTAAGGGAAGTGAACCGGTCAGCCAAGGGGCAGGAGCAATAGTGCCGGAAGGCCGCGTCTTTGGGCCCGGTGAGTGGGATGTCCTGCGCCCAAAAAAAATGGTGGGGCGCTTATAGAGAGAAGCACAAAGGAAAAAAACACGGCGCCGAGACGCTTTTGGGAGAGTAAGGCGAACACGGCGAGAAGTTGCCGTCCCCCTTTTTGGGGTACACTTCAGGAGTCGTTGTGTAACCTTCCCGACGTCGATGGCCCCTTCTTTATTTTGGCTCCTTGATTCCGCATTCAAGCTGGTGCCCAAAATTGAGATTGGTAGCTTGGGGCTACATGCACATATCTAAAATGGTTTCCACCACGAAACCACCACCTCCAGGGGTAAAGGGGGTATGCATCCCTCATATCAATGGTGGTCACAATACACCGAGTATGTCCAGTCTTCCCTGGGCGCAGTGGCTTGGGCGCAATGGCTTGTCAGTGGGACTGGCCCACGCCGCGTGGATCCGGGCACCGGCTTCGGTTGGGACCATCCCCGATAAATTTGGGCGAGGTGCCAGGGTTCCTGCGTGGCAAACCTAACGTCTTCCCGTCAAAAGGAAACTTGCTACATGAATTGGCAACCAAAAGGTGATACTTGAAGCCGCCCCTGAAGGGCAAACAAAGGGCACTCTGATAGACATCAAAAAAGCATGGCATGCACTTCGGCAGTCCAAAGGGGTACGGCATCGCAGCATTCCGCGTGTCTCCGCGGCTTCCGGGAGCCTTGTGCTTGTCCATCTGCGCGGTCTCCTCCCAGGGCTCCATGCGCCAGCCCCGTGCCGCCAGAGCATACTGCATGGCGAAGTCCGAGGAGTAGATCTCCTGAATTGACCCAACACGCATAGGCTTATGCCTATCCAAAGTCCCTCCCCTGAACGCGGTCGTGGGGAGTTCACTGTTTCATAGAGAGTGGTTTGCTTTTTTGGTTTGCTTTGGTTTGTTTGCTTGCTTGCTTGCTTGCTTGCTTGCTTGCTTGCTTGCTTGCTTGCTTGCTTGCTTGCCTGCTAGTCCGATCTCCGTAGCCTGTGAGCACAAAGCTATATTTGCTTGCGTGCAGTGTGCGACGAAAACGTCCCCCCTGCTTCGGCCCACGGCAAGCCGGCTGCCCAAAATGCAAAACGTGTCGCCTGGGGGGGCGTTGCTACCAAAGCACGCATGTTTCATTCTCCACCAACTTTAGGCACTGCGTTCTGCGAATATCCATGTCCCAGTGATTCACTTTCAAGGGGGGCATAGCGGTTCCCTCACATCAACAGTAGGAACTGTTGGTAACCTCATTTCCAACAAAGAGCCGCCAGTCAGCTGCTCGTGGTTGGGTCCCTCTCAAAATAGTTGGATTCCTTGTTTGGGATGGCTGCAAAGGGAATATAAGAGGAAACAAATCACCAGCGGGGGTTCACAGCATTGAGGAAAAATAGTTGGTGCAATCCTCTCAGGCAGGCTATTCTCAATGGTTCATTTCCCTTCCCGCGGGTCCCTTTCAAAAACCAGTCCTTGGTCGCCTTCTCACCAAGCCTTGGCTGCATGTGGCAAATCATCCTTTCGGAGATACGAAGGCGGTTGATTCCCATGTGCTCCTGTGGGTTCCGTGGCCGCTCAACAACCACGCTTGGCTGCGCGCGTGTTGCTGTATCACTTTAACCCACCCGTTGCCACACTGTACGACCGCAACGCCATGCCAGACTGGCCCACAAGCGCGCCATCGTTGAGAAGCGACAGAAACACCTTGGGAATACGCTGGAAAACCAGAGGACACGTAAATATGCCAAACGAGAGGCAGGCTTCTTCGTTGCTGTTAGGTCTGACCTGGATTCCTCCTTTCCATTCCTTCTATCCTTCCATCTCCTAGCTAAGAATGGAGATGGGGAAGAACCTCTTCCTTCCCCTTCCCTTTGCAATCCTCGCCCATATGCTATATGCTGTGGGGCGAGGAAGGGAAAGGGTGAGATAGTGAGATGAGATTACACAGATTCTTAAATTTCACCTGTCATCTCATCTTATCTCCTCACTCACACTTTCCTTGCCAGCCCTTTCCTAGCCAATGGGCGGGCTGGAAGGCAAGGATGAAGTGAGTGTCATCCAGAAAGAGGGGGAGACAAAGCGAGAGAGAAAAAGAGAGAGAGAGAGAGAGACAGAGAGAGAGAGAGAGAATAGAGAGAGAGAGAGAGCGCGCGAGAGTCTGACCGCCCAGCGGAAGTCTCCATTGCAGTCAAGCAGCATGTTCCAGTCCTAAGCACAGCAGTAAAGCTGAAGGTCGTGAAGTGTGGAGTTTGGAATGCGAAAGCGAGCCCAAGCTTTGCAGGCCAAGCGGGTCCTATGGGTCTTTGAAAAAGCTTTCTGCATCTGGGCTCCCGGTATTTCCCTCAAACATCAGCCCATCTCGAGGAAACTCACTGAAAATCCGCCAAACAAGGTGACGTCGGAAACAGCCAAAAGGGGAAAGCGGGAAGCTGCCGATGTCGGCCACCGAACGTTTGGAGGCTGCTTAAAGGAGGAAATATAGGGAGTTCTGTGCATTGAGACCGCTTCATGCCACGCGGCCAGCTTCATCATGTTCTCATCCGAGAAGGCGTCAAAAATCGCCTCGCTCCTGCCCATTGGGTAGTGGGTGCTGTACCCTTTTAAATCGGCAAATCCAAGGGAACGATGCAGTTTCATGTGTTCCTCGTTTTAGGACCAGCCCCATTGCTGCAGAGCCACAAGTGAAGCCAACGTGCTCCGCAGAAGAGCACGCTGGCTCTGTCAGAGAAGCCAACGTTCTCCGTCTGCCAGTCAAACACCCAACTCACAGGTCTAGAGGTCCACGAACGCGCGATTCAAAAGCCGGGTTTCCCCAAACAGGCGACCTAAGGCCCAAAAAGAACGCCTGTTTCTGGATCCCTCGAGGCTTTGAGCCCTCCTGAAGTAAGCTCCACCTGCCAGTCCAGCTGACATGGCCTGCTTGGTCCACTTGAAGCCTGCCCGGTGCATGCCGTGCACGTAATGAAAACCTAGCACTGAAGGAGTCTGCTCAAACCCAACGACAAATCAAACCTGTAAGACTGCATTAAAGGAGTCTACCCGAAACCCTCAGTAACAAATCAAAAGGGCAAGTGTTCGCACCCATGTAAATATGTATATATATATATATATATATGTACATGTATTATATATCTATACAAACACATTACATATCTATGAATATATGTATATATATATATATATACACACATGGCGAGCACCGCGATTTTGCGGCCGTCCATCTCCATGTTTGCTTGGAACAGCGTATCCAAAAAGCGCGCCCTCCAAATGGATGGTTTCTTCCCTTTGGCTTCCAAAGAAAGCCCCTTGGGGGCACCAACTCAAATGCACCCGCCTGGCACACGCTTCTGTGCCTGCGCCTCCACCTGTCCACAGGTTGGCTCTGGGATTTGGACGAACCTTTTTGTTAGAACCCATTTGGGGACAAGTGAAGGTTATACAAAAATAGTCTGCGTGACTCCTGACTGATGATAATTCACCGGCCTGAAGCAAGGCACCCGAGTACCATGAAATGCTATCATTCCCAGCCCAACTGAGGGAGAAAACCACATTGATGACGCCACCTTGCACACCACAAACCTGCATCTGTCCCCTAAGAGGCTGCAATCGAGAGGCGTAGTCCACCAAACCAAAGGAGCGGTCCTTCACGAAAATGCCTCCTGGCGCATTGCTACTGGAACGAGAAGCAAATTTACCAGCCAGAAATTGGGAGGTCGCAACGCGCTTTGCCACACAACCTCTTGGCAAAAGGGCCAGCAGGTAAAAAGGTTGACCCTTTGGGTCATGACCAAGGAAACCGCAGAGGTCACACTGTCGGCCTTGGGCAACTGAGCATACTTGTTGAACAGAACATTTTAAAATTGATGCAGGGTTTTCCCAGAACCATCCTAGATCTGTGCAGCCCTGTGCTGCCAATCGAAAAGTTCAACTCAATGGATGTTGTCATGTCCCCTGACGCTTTCCGCTAATGCGAACAAACTTTCTACCTCGTAGAAAGGTGGTGCAAGCCAAGAAAGGTGTAAATATTTCCCAGGAAAGTTGATCTACACTCCCAACGTAAACCTATAGGGAGTAGCCCTTGATCAACATGCCCAACCCGAAATACAATACCTTGCAGCCAAGCAAGTAGGAACACCAATCATTCAGGCGCCTTACAATCAAAAACCCTGCTGGCTGGCATTGTTTTGATTGTCGCTGTGAACTTGCCACAAGTTTGATGCCCCTAACTTGATTCAGGGTGCTGACTGTCGCTGGGCTGCACGTTACGGAACGTGCAGCGTCCCCTCTAACACAGTGGCAGCTTTGGTCGAAGATCCTGTTGAATACATGGTTTTGCAGCCTGCAAGTAACTCAGCACGCGTTTGGAGCCTTTCTACCTGACAATGCTGCAACATTGGTCTTGAGGCCTTTAGAATTGAAGCGCCGTTCCTTACAAGGTGACCGGCTCCGGCTGGCAGAGAGCTTTTGTTTGCTTTAAACCACTTAGCGTAGAAGTCTCCGCGTTGAAACAGCTAGCAAGTAAACGAAGAAACGCACGAACGCACACGACAAACCAAACTGCGAATTGGTGCAGAATTTCGGGAAGGATTAATCAGGCCCAAACCCACCAACAAGAAAGAGACCACCTAATCCCCCCAGCCCCAAGCCCGGCTGGCACAACAAGAGCCAAATGGTGACCAGCTTTAACAAGTGAGTAAAGCCAGCAGCAGCCAAGCGGGCGAAGCAGCAGCACCAAGCAAGCACAGCGAGCAAGCACAAGCAAACCAAATGCTAGTACCCAATCCCGTCCTTACCCACACCCACCTCCAACCCAACCAACAGCCGCCCAGCCCGCGCACTCTTTGTGCGACACGAGCGCCAGCGCCATTGGCGCGGCAATAGCGGCACTGGTAGCAACGATATCGCCGGTACCCAAAGCTTGACCCAAATGGTGCATTAACCATCTGTTTATGATAAAAGTACATGCTCCTAAAAACACCTCCCTCGCCTGTAGCAAAAAGAGAGAGGGAAAAGCGTTTAAGCCGTAGTCGGAGTTGAGAAGAATATAACAACGAGACAAACAGCAGGATTAGGTTTCCAGGGTTCGCGACCCTACACCCAGGCGCGCTTGGACACCGAAGCCCCGCCACCACCCTGAACTACGGGTATAGGGCAGATTCACGCCGGTAACCAAATCAACAAAGAGAGCGAACAAGAAACAAACAAAACAAGTTTCAAGTCCGACTAGGAAGCCGGCTGGAAACCATTGGGGTGTAGTTTTGAATTCTTTGCCGGGCGCATTGGCCCACCGGTTGAAACATGCTGCGTTGGCCGCATAGACGCAGGGCCTCGAAAAATTGCACCGTCTAGGCGCGCATCACTCGAACTGCTTCGGCAAGACCATCGCCGGCAGCCATCCGTGGTCCAGCTTCATGTGGACCATCACCATCAGCGGTGCAGGACAACGGTGTACATCGCCCTGCATCTTGATGGGCTTTCTCGCCAGCTGCAGCAGGGTACGTGCTCCCGGCGAGCGATCGACCTTGCGAATCTTGGATTAGCACGGAGCGAAGCAGGTCATCCTGCGCCAGCTGGTACGCAACACGTAGAATTGCGGAGCATCCGTCCAAGATTGAGGCATACTCGGTGGCAATGCAAAAAACCATACGCCATGAGCGATTGGACAAAGCAAGGATGGCCACAGCAGCAGCAGGGGAACTCTGAGTCTCGATGCCAACTAGCATCCTTCAATGAAACGATGCCAGACAACTGTGCTGTATGACAATACGGAGCAATGGCATACCCAAACAATGGACGGTCTACCTGAATTGCAAGGAGCCGGTAACAAGATACTATCGGATATTGTGTACAGATGTTGAGATATTGTTGCGCCGCGTGTCAAAATGATTTGTTTAAACACCACCTGACGCAGACATTGAGCCCCTGCAGCCTCAGCTTTGGCTTTGCGCAACCCACCCAGGAGACAACAGCCCTCCACGCAACTGCATTCAGTTGGCCCTGCGCCTGGCAGCATTCCTCTCGCGTCCTGGAAAAAGGGGGCGAAATTCCTGTTGGTTGGTCTGAAACTGCATTTGATGCAAGTCACCCTGAACCCCAAGGCCAAACCACTCAAGTCCTATTAGCATGAGCTAAGCAGTGACGTCCAGCGCTGCGTTTTACCTAGCGTCTTCTACAGCGCAACGCTAGCAGAATGAGGCCAAAAGCCGCGCAAACGAAAGAGTGACATGGACACACTGACAAGGCTCGTGTTGGGTCTTTGGGGCTCAAGCTTGCTCTCAGCAGACCCTGCAAGAGACACAAAGACATCAAAAACTGGTCGGACAAATTGTGCCAATAGATCGACTGACTTGAGTTTTCAGAGCTCGGGCGAAAATTCTTGTTCTCCGCGAAACGAGCGAAGCCACTACGTTCGCAATCTTCTGCCGCGCGCACGCAACGAACCTTGAAGCCGCAATTGAAGTGAGGCACCATTTGAAGTGAGTCACCCGAAACCCCAACGCCAAAACAACGAAAAACGCAGCTAGCCCTGAGCCCTGCGCGTTTTGAGACGATGGTTTAGGCCAACTACAACTTTTGTTTTCGAATATTGCGCCTTCGGGCGCATGCAAAACGAGCGAAGCCACAACGTTCGCAATCTTCTGCTGCGCGCAAGCAACAACTGCCGACTCACGCCGAAAAGGCAGGTTTCATGTTTCGACATTCGCGAACCCTGGCTCAACGATTTGCGCCATGTCTGGGTCGCCGACCCTGAAACTGCATTTGATACGAGTCACCCGAAACTGCCCGAAACCGTGAAGCCGAAACACTCAAAACCTGTCAGCGTGAGAAGCAGCGACGCCCAGCGCTACATTTTACTAAGCGTTTTCGACAGCGCAACGCGAGCAAAATGAGGCCAAGGCCGCGCAAACGCAAGAATGACATGGACACACGGAGAAGGTGAGAGTTCTGCACAAACATGTCAACAGCCGTGCAATGGGCAAGTTGGCCGACACTCTGAAGGAGGTGGGCTTGGCACCTGCCCATGCAATCCACGCCTCAATGCTGTCTGACACCTGATTTTGCCACTTCGGATGCGTAGGCTTGTCGGCACACAAACGGGCATCGACAATCACAATGCGTTCTCACAGTGAACCAAGAGGGGTAACACACAGAGAGTCGCGTAGTTTCCCCTGAGGGATAGGACAAGACCTCCAGGGCAGCAGCCGAAATCTGTTGAAACCTCAGTTCGGCATTGGTTGACTGCACAGGGACGGACAAGAGCATGCACTGGTCATGGTGGTGCACAGGGGGAAGTGGTCAAGCTTGGACGTACATGGGAGAAGCACAAGATCCACGACAGGGAAAGGCAATTGGTCGTCAGGCGCAAGAAGTCTGGCATCAAAAGGCAGGGGCTCAGTCAGCCACATCACGCATGCTAGCCGTTGGTGGCAGTCTCGATGCAGTCTGTAGCACTTGTCCAAACTCGGAAAGCAGGCATGCTCCAGTGGCACTTCACTGTCCTTGGGGTGAATGCAAATCCAGTCAGGTGCGCAAGAAACACGGCAAGCACTGGCCCAAAGTCGCCGATCCCAAACTTGCAGGAGAATGTCCTGGGGATGCATGGCACCAAAGCAAAAACTCACAGGAAGGAGGAGCTGCAATGCATGCAGCGAAATGGCATTGCCAACCAATCTGAAACCATTCTGAAACTGTCTTCCAGGTCGCCTCAGGCATGCGCGAGCTCAATCGGCGAGAAAAATCTCGGCGCCTCAGTGGTACCAGTGTGCAGTCCCCCTTGTGAAGGCAAGATCCACCAATGTGGCAACCTACGAGAAATTTGGGATTGGAATGTGGGGTCTTTCGTGCTCAAGCTTGCGCTCAACAGACCCTGCAAGAAACACAAAGTCGGAAAATCGCGCCACTAGATCGATTTGAGTTGTCAGAAATCCGGCGAAAACATGGCTCTCTGCAGTTTTCATGTTTGACAGCCGCGAGCCCCGGCTCAACGATTCATGCTACATCCGACGTCTGAAGCTGAGTTTGAAGCGAGTCACCCGAGGCCCTATCAAAAACGTCTGCGGCGCGACGTTTGACTTATTTTCTCAACAGCGCAAGCAAAACGTACGTCCGTCCGCTATGACTGTTGGACTACACTCCAAATGCGCGAGCGACACAAACCAATTCAAACAAAGCCCCCGACAAATAGTCAGGACCACTGTTTCTCGGTCATCCGGGCTCCTGAGTCGCACTTGCGGAATCCAGGGTTACTGCCTGGCCGAGAAATCACTGTTCCTCAGCTTTCCGCCATGAGGCCTACGATTACTTGATTAAAAGTAACTTGCAGGGTTGTTAAAAATGCGGTTCGCGGTGCCAACCAGGGACGAATCCTATAGCTGATAACCTGCGAATTGAAACAGAGTTTAAGCGGGCGAAGCCCGCAGCACCAACCAAGCAGAGCGAGCAAGCACAAGCAAACCAAGTGCCAGTACCTGACCTACGCCCACCTCCAACCCAACCACCAGCCGCCCCGCCCGCACACTCTTTGTACGAGGTGAGCGCCAGCGCCGTTGGCGCGGCAACGATATCGCCGGTACTTGAGCCAAATGGTGCATTGACCATCAGTTTATGATGAAAGTACATGCCCCTAAGAACACTAACAAAACAGCCAGCCGGCCAACCAGCCAACCAACCAACCAACCAATCTAGAAACCAACAAAGGACAACACATCGGTCCTCCCCTACTCAACATCGCTAGGCATTCTGGGCACGCCTCCAAGAAAATTTCAGACATATCACACATCATTGAGCCGTCCCGTCCTGCATCATGCTTGGGCGCTCGTTTGATCGGTCCGTGAATCGTGTTGTCCTGGGTTCAGCAATGTGGACAGGTGCACTGCTTTTTTGCAAGACATTGTCAAATGGGCCGTAAGTTCATTCGTAGCTAGTTGTGGTGCAAGGCGACCTGAAGCTGCGCATTGAGGTCATGCGCACAAATCGATGAATTGCCAGGACGAAATTTTGTCTGCTCGTGCTGACGCTTGAAAACCTTTGGCACCAAATGACGTCAGTTCCAGCTTCAAACAACATGCGTTTTCATGCCCCTCCCGACTCTCGTTGACATCGCACCTGACCCGGGGGGGGGGGGGGTTCTTCAAGAGGGAATTGTTACTTCCTAGGGCGTGCGTGCAGCTTGGTTGGCAGGTGCCGTTGAGAAGGCAAGCAAACACCGGCAAAAACTTTAGAGTGTTATGAGCTTCGGGAACATAACATTGCTCCTTCTAAACATGTGACCTAGAGCTGGGCAAAAATGGCTCACAACTTGCCACAGCTTCCCCCTGCTCCCCTGCTGCCGAATGTCTGGCTCCAGCATGATGACATACTCAGTCTGAAGGCCTAGCCACTGCGCTGTTAGCAGCGGGGGGGGGGGAGGGAAAAGCGCCTCAGCCTGGCAGCTTTCATGAACAAATGAGTGCTTCTCAAAATGAGGGCTAATCTCCGAAACGGTCGGTTTAATTTTGGTCTCCTGAAACACCGTCCAAAAAAGGGGTCCCCAAATTTAGAAACAGACCCATATTGCTACCATCCACTTCGTTGGAAGCAAGCGAGAGCTGGACACAACCTCCCACAGAGAGAAGGGGCCGCGAAAGTAGAGTCGTCACCTGAAGCCTGGTACTAAAGGCGTCTATCCAAAGATGAGTGTCTGACCTACGGTTCGGCCTCCCCGAACCTTCAACTACCCAGATTTGCCAGCTCACCGAGTGCCGTGCTGCGAGCTGCGTCGTAGAGGCGGCGAAAGAATGGCCAGGGGTGCCAGCCTGACAGAGAGAGAGAGAGAGAGAGAGAGGAGGGAGAGGTTTGATTTTGTCCAAGCCAGGAATCCATGGAGGGACTGATACGAGGATGACTTAACTTGGTTTCACAGTAGCACAACCAGCCTTCCAAGTATCGAGGCCTTCATAGTGTGATCGGCCCAAGAATCCGATCTGGGTCCGTCTCTACAGGAAACCAAAAAACCCACCAGGGGGACTTGGTTCTTTATATCTGAGAAATAGTCACTTGGATGGGGGGCCTCTGGTTCAAAAACGAAAGAGTTTAAACCAGTAACGGGTCCTCTTCCTGGGCTTCGTTTCGTCCAGGGCAACCAGGACTACTCCACTGACATCCGAGCGGCGGTCGTTGGCCGGCGGGCACTGCACGAAGGTGCAGCCCTGCTGCTTGCAGAGGGGGCCGAAATCCATCCCGCCATCACTCATGACCTGAGGCCCATGCCAATGCACTCAGCATCTCAGGGAGTGATAGGAGAAGAATTGAGTCTTTCCAAAAGGTGATGTTCAAACGATGGCAGAGATCATATTGTCCACCCAAAAATTGAACCCCAGGGCAAGCCCTTTCAAATGGCCACAATGCTGCAACGGTTGATCAATCCAAAGAAGAACCATGAGGACTCCTGCACGTTGGCCCTCTTCTGGTTTGTGGAAAGTCCCCATTCCGTCATACCCAAGTGGGCCTGACTTTCAGGCCATTCCCTGATCCTGTGCCTTCCCGCATTTTGGTTCTTCGCGCGGAGCTGTAGCTGCACAACTGGGATAGCCCCTGTCGTTCCGAGGGGGGGAAGCCCAGCTACGCTGCCAAAAAGTGTCCACAGTGCACAGCGGCCCCTTAGCGGCTTCGCAGGGCACGATCCACCTGTCCCTCTCTCTCTGAGTGTGTAGATCAGGACATTGCCTGGAGTCTCATGCCCACTTAAACCCATTGCTTTGGGGTGATGAGCCCTTTGTTTTTCGGGGCATGGAGACACCAAGTGCTCAATCCTCCTTGCCATGTTCTTTTCAAAAGCCACGCAGGCAGGCATGCCACCATCGGAGGATGGAGCTACGATGGGCGGAAAAGCACAATTGGCTCTGCGGACAAGAGTGCTCTGTGGATACTCTGAAGGCTGAAGACCGCATTCATAAAAGTCCGATATCGTGGTTCCTTTCTCACTCACAAATTTGGCTTATTCCGTCCATCGTATGAAAAATGGGCAAGGCGTCACAGATTGACCAATCGTCCTCTCTGTTGCAAACCAAGCCTCTTTGCATCACGGTGCTCAAACCCTCGTGTGATGCTAAGGTGAGCCATCCCCACAACTATTTTACCTCAAACCCCCACTTGAAGCCCTCAAAGCCTTTGAAGCATCTTGCTTGCGTTCTCTGGCAAAATCCACTTCTCCCTGGCACCATCTGCATAGCGCACCAGGATGGAGTGGCAGGGAGCTGCCGCGGTGTCCTGCAACAACCCTGGAAATGTCAGCAATGAGGGATGCCCACCTTGCGGCCCATCTTGACATTGCTTCAGGGTCTGACAAAGCCGCAGGTTCAAGAACAAATCCTCGTATTTGACATCGGGACCCTTTTATGATTTACATTGGGATGTCCGTCAAACCATGATGGAGTTCCCCAACGCGCCGAAACATCTACGCGCCAAACGTTCTACGACTTGCACACTTTATGGCTTCAGGCTGTATCACCCAACCCCTTTGTGATTTGGGTGGTATGGTTAGGGACGCCCCAGGTACTCGGGGTTCAATCCCCCAACCACGTATATTTGTTGGGGGGTAATGGCACGCATCCAAAAACAAATCCAACTCCTCAACGCTAAGCACCCTAGCAGAAAGCCAAGCCTTCAACAACTGATTAAACCAGATAGCTATGCACAAAGGCCAGAGAATTCTATTCCCCATCCAGACACTGCAGCAATCAAGTTGGAGCACCCTTTCACAAGCAACATGCTTTACTCACTCCGCGGAATTATTGGGCATATGTTTCACTCCAAAGCCACTGGGTCACCGGGAAAGCCGAAAGCCGAAAGCCGCGGCCCGCGGCCCGGCGTTTTCAGTCCTCGGTGAGGACTTTCTCCACGACCCCGTCCGGGAACCAGGCGTTTTGGCTCTCGCTGAAGACCTGTACCTGCTCGCGAGCATCCAAGCGAAGGGCAAGTCAATCGATCCGTTTGCCAAAATACCAATGCTGCTCGATCGCCCTTCTTATCCAATGCGTTGATTCGCCTTCTTTGGGTGCTGCTTGGCGTGTGTTGGCCTCACTTGGCCTTATTTGGGAAACGGTCAGTCCTGCTCTCCAAACAACCCATAGCATCACAACATAACGTCAGTTGCCCAGGTGGTTCCTCAGAAGTGAGCCGGAGAGGTCACCACCCACGTCCAGGTGATGTTCCTCCCTACAAATTGGCCTTCCTTTTGCAAAGAGAGGGTTGCGGTGCAGCGCCTGCTTGGGAACGAAAGTCTGTTGTAAATGAACACGGAACCCTAAGAGAGGTCGCTTTATGGTTGCAAGGGCGCAAATAGAGAACCCACATTGTCACATTCATAGCTGTTTGGAGGGGCCATCTGTTGCTTTGATAAGTATCCAATTGCTGCGCATCTGGCTTGGATTCGAGGAAGCGTACATGGTCTGTTTGACTTGGAGCGGGCAAGCGGGCATAGAAATGTGTTTTACCAGCCAAACCTAGCCAAATCAGGTTGTGTGATTTTGGGGGCTGTGACCAAGAATTGCAACTGAAAGTTGGGCTGGAGTCCCTTTGCATGTTATGGAAGAGAACCAAAAAGAAAACCTGTGCCATTTTGAGGGGAGCCCTATTTTCAACCATTCTGCCCTTCTCAACGCCACTCCGTGGTTGTCTTTGGGGCAGGGAGATTGCACCAAAACTCACAACTCGACCAAGCTCATGAACATGGGGCACTTCCTCGTGGCCGAAATGTCCCTCTGCGCAAGGCAATCTAAACCCGTTTATTTGAATCACAGCAGAGATCCGCCACTTGCCTTGTCCCCCGGCTGAAAGAGCTCGACACTGGCTTGCTTCGCGTAGCCAGCAGCAGCCACCTAGCGAACACCAGAGATGCGACCCAGTTTGGAGAGCAAGCCAACCGGCGCTTGACCAGATGTTCTGGGTTTGACTCATTGCAACAAGCCGCGTAAAGGCAAGCCATTGGAGAGCTATGCGAACGGAAGGCCGCAAGATTGAATTTCGGAGAATGCATTTGCATTGAGAAACAAACGGCGGAAGGCTTAGCGTTGCCCAACTTTGTGTCGGGTGCGAGTAGCAACTTCTGACAATCTTCATGCAATGGAAACCTACGATTCATAACCCTTCATACGGGATCCGAATCACTATTTGGGGGAGTTGCACCTCATACTAGTCTGCTAGGTTGATAAATCCGGGGGTCGACATGATTTGTTCGCAATTGCTGTGATGGTCTCTGTACGCCTCTGATCTTCATTTTGTTGTGCCCCCCGCCCTTTCTCAGCTGCCTAGCCTGCAGCGCAGGCTTTGAGGGGATCGCCTTCCTGTCCTCTCGCGCTACTCTGAGAGGCGCAGGCAGCGATAAAAATGGCATGCTGATGTGAGAGGGGCTCTAAGGGGCTCCACACCACTACAAACGGGATATGCAAAACATATGGGTAACATATATTTTGATTGGGGGAGTGGTCGGCGGGGCCATCCAAAGGGCGTCGCTGTATCCTGGACCTCTCCCAAGGCTCTGTCTGTACAAGAATTGAAGAGAGGTCAGCAAGTGACCAAGACTTGCCTCCTAGTTCTCAGCCAATCATCCAGCAGTCTAATTCCATGGACTATTCGACGTTGAGGGCCGCCAAATTCAAACTTCTGCCTCCCCACCCCGATGCTTGCAGCACACTGTCCTCCTGCAATGGCTTAGGCCCTTGGCCGCTGCGGCGCTTCGTTTCCTGCCGGAACAAGGGCGGCTTTGTGCACGTCTAATTCCCGTTGATTCCCCCCTAATTTACCAACACCGGGGTGTTGTTTGTTTAAAGGCTCGCGGCTGTGAATCACCGGAACAACAAACCACTGATAGCTCATGTGGGACAGCAGCATGCCAAATGCCCCTGGATATGGGACTGTGTCCATTTCGGGAAACAGGAACATGTTCATTTCGAGAAGCTTGGTGGCCCAGAACTCCCAGAAACCCCCTCCCGCCCAGAACCCGGCCTCAGAGCCCAGGCGCTGTACCAGCTGGTCCGCCTGCTCTTGAGCCTTGCCCAAGGTCTCCTTGATCCCTGGCAAAGACCCTGGGTGTCTCCAAATTCTACCCAAAGCGATGGTGCCCTTAAACAGCACCCTCACAAAAACTGGGCCAGGGACGCTGTTCCTGGCCGAGGAAGGGAATGCCATGGCCATGCACGGCATACTTGGAGCCCACGTTCTTGCAACGCCCGAGACATGGGTCCGAGAAATGGGACCCCTTCAGGTGCCGTGGACTCTCACTGGTGGCCCGGGTGGTCCCCCCCGCCCCGAAGGCCCCATCGCCTTTGAAGGCGCGCAGCTCGGCGCGCAGCGCCTGCACCGTGTCCCGGATCTTGGCCTCGAGGCGCGCCCCGGCAACGCTCCGGGAGGGCGGGCCTTCTGGAGCCATGGTCTGACTTGGGGACACCTCGAAGACGGCTGAAAACGGAGGAAATAGAGAAAGAGAACGCCGTGTTTTAAATGGGGTTGAAAGGAAAACCAAAGGGCGACAAGGGCCACCTGTAGATCTGGGAATCAGAACCACACACGGGTATCCAACAGTGGGGACCCAAATTTACGGGACCGTTTTTGGATTTCTAAAGTGAAACCAAGAGAAACCAACCATTTGGGGTACTAAATGGGTCTACCCAAAGCCAGGCAACGCATCAAAGGGCGGGGCATTGGCACCTATGTCTCGTTACTGTCCCTGCTAACCTTCAACTACACATATTGTTCGTGGCTCACTTCTTTTTGTTGGCTGATCTTAGGACACCCTGATCAGAAGCAACCCGCGGCTTTAACGCAATCAAGAAAAGGTGAAGGATCCTCTCTGAAAAGGAATGCACATCCCCTCAATCAGGTTTGTTTGGATCAACTGGGTTTCCAGGTACTTGCTCGAAAGGGGTGGCTTCCGATGAGTTCCTTTTGGAACAACCAAAAAGGTGCCCTCAAAGAAAGACGCTCCCTTTTGCGATCCCATTGACCAGCAAATGTTCTGCCTCCCCAACCCTTGGTATGCTAGCAAAGTACTTTGTTCTTCGCAGACCCCCCCCACTTTAGGGGGCTGGAGCCAGAAAAGCAAGAAAGCAATACATGCATGCCAAGAGCAATAGGCAACTTGGAGAAATTCCGAGCTCTTTGGCTTTCCATCAAAGGCAAGCACTCGCCAAACTCCGCCTGCACCGTCTGCAGCTGCTCGGAGCTCTGCCGCGCCCGGCCATCCGTGGCGCTGGAAGAG